TATATGGCATACTGTAAGGCCAGTAGAGGGAGCCACATGAACGAAATCGTTTTTCATTCTTGACGCGGATACTTTTAGCTTCACAACAAAAAAAAAATTAATAAAAAATATCAATGTATGCTCATTTGATCGCATTTTTAAAAACGTACCAATAGATGGCCCACCCTGTATTACGGTTGAGCGCCCTAATATGCCTCTTGTCACGGTATTGAGGATTGCAGGTCTCTTTACGGGGAACATTATGTGATCCTTGAGTTCTTCCAATTGTGAATATATTCCGCTGGTCGCTAGTGCTCCTGGGCTGATATTTCCACGACGGTTTAGTTGAAGGCTTCATAATGGTGGGTGGTAATGTCTCCACCGGTTTAGGCATTTTATACCATGAATCTCCCAAAAGGTACATAGTAGGTGCAAAAGAATTACAAGTAATCTGAGTTCCATGGCATGTTAATATGTGCGTTTGCGGGGTCAGAAGATGTGTTTTGTTTCCTCGTATTACTGGGACGTAACATTCTGTAGTTCAAGCTAATTTTACTTCGACCGGTACACATTTTATATGTGAATTACTTCGCCTGCCAAAAGTGCCATATATCCCGGTCCCTTCATAAAATGATACGCGTCCGGTTATTTAGCGGCTATGGCTAATGCATTCTGCATCATACGATATTCTAGTTGACATTTTGTAGTAATACATTCTGTATAGTTGATTTGAGTATAGTTATATACTGTATAGTTGTTTCTACGTATACGAATTTTGAATTTACGTATGTGAAGATATCGATGTTTATTGCTATGAAGCCAGAACTTTTAAAAACTTCGGCACCAAAGTCATTTCGAAAATTATTAATTTCGAATATTCGGTTCTGATAAGTGTTTGTCCACAGGTGATATATGTTCCAGTGCTGGTTAAAGAGAGAATCATATTTGTCGTAGTTATTGAATAGACTGTTTGAGATCGCTCATTGGTAGCATCAAGTATTTTATTAGAGTATCCATTGTATAATATGCCATAATCGGAAGCTTTACAATGATCGACAGGTAGGGAATCCCAAAAGGTATCTCCTCCCTCTATGTAAATGCAATGAGAGGAACTTAGTTCACAGATTACTCCTGACCTGAGATGTACACGGTTTGTGTTTATCCAAACGTCGGCGATGTAATCTTATAAGGTAATTTTAAGGCTGCCTAATACAATGACATTTCCCCAATTTCCATCGGAATATGCACTGCCGGTACATGCGACGTCATTGTCAACATGCCCGGCTAAAGCTATTGGACAATGATAATCTGGTATTAGACCGTTATCAGCGCGCTTCACTCGAATCTCATAGGCGCCGCCCGTAGTCGCGGCGTGAAGCCAAATCTTTCGAAAGAAAAGAATCGTAACGTCCATAGGACGTAACACTTTATAACTTTAAAACTTTTGAATCCCTACAATTTTTGTTTAACAATTTTTTTCTATTTTTTATATTTTCGACGATGTTCGGATCGAAAGAAAAATACCGTTTTTTTTCAAGGAGATGTTTCACTCCTAAAACATAAGTTCGCGCACGTATGAAAAAATATGTGTCTTTTAGATTTTTGTGTTTTACAACATATTTCATGAAGAATCAAATCGGTTCCGGACAGTTGTAAAACTTCCCTTGTCAGATTTTTGGCTAATTTTGCGAACGAGCTATATATCCAATTTGCTATCCTTAATTGACTCAACAGTTAATTAATGTCTATTATAAAAATCATTATTGCAATATTATAAAAGTTCTTAAGCCAATAATTTTACAATATTAACAATAACAAAATGCATACCTGTGGAAGAAACAAGCATACCGCTATTGTTGACAAAGAAATAAATTGCAAGTGGACAGTTTGATAGATACGTTTCAAATGAAAATGATTGATGTGAACCGATAAGGAGAAACTACAAGGGAAATGGAAAGAGATGGATTAGTTTTTGATGGAAAGGAAAAAAAAACGGAAGGAGATCTAGAATCAGGGAGGGAATAACAAGTCAAGAATCGGTATATTTTTTCTAATATCCATATCAGATTAAAATATTTATCTCTGATTTATTGAGTTAGAACATTCTAACTCAAACTCAATAAATATTAAAAATAAATATTTTACAATATCTTATGTTAAGAACATCTCTAAAAGCTGTGTAGTGATAGCAAGAAAAGCTGGTAAAAAATAGGATATTCCATTCCAAACATTTTAAAAAGATTTATGAATAGAGGAAAAGATGAATTAGGTCCAAAGATGCATCACGACGTGGTTTGTAAGATAACTTGATTGTGATGCATTTTATATTGACCAAGCTAAAAGACAGTTACGTAGTTTCCTACATTAATACAATAAAAAAAGTGGATCTCCTTTTGTCGTTTCTAGCCATAGATTACAGTACAACCATGAATTTAATTGGAAAGACGTTAAAACATTGGATAATGAGACATCATATAAAAGATCGGTTTCAAAGATGATCCACATAAAAAAAAAAACAACAATATAGCTTAAATAAATAAAGCGATACCGAATTATTCTCAGATTCTTATCTATCAATATCCTTAACTTGTTATTCCCTTCCTGATTCTAGTCCTCCTTCCATTTTATTTTTTTCTCTTTCCATAAAAACTAATTTACCCCTCTCCCCCCTCCCTCCTTAGTCTCCTTGTTGATTCGCATCAGTCATTTTCATTTGAAATGTATCTATCAAACTATCTACAATACTGGACAAAATAAATCATACACCTTTAAAAAAATTGAATTTGTTTGTGTAACTATTTTTTGAATAAGCAAATAAATTATTGGATACAAGAAAATCAAAGTATTTGAAAGTATTTAAATAAAGAAAATGTGAAATAATTAAAATTGTGCTCAATTCTTTTGTAAAAAAATTTATTTTTCAATATTGATACATTTTACTCTGGACAAAATAAATCATACACTTAAATAAGTATAACATAGGATTCCGCCAACGTTTACATTTCATCGTTCTGTTACTGTTCATCATTTCATTGTTTGTTTACGTTGTATCTACGATTATAATTTACGTGTTCGGTGGATCAGCAGTAATTGTGACGAGCAAGAACAATGTCAGGAAAGCAAATTTCTCTTGATATCCGAAATTTGGTAATTCGTGACCGACAGAATGGTAATTCCTTTAGAATATAATCGCTGATAAATATGCAATCTCTGTTGGAGCAGTGCAATACATTTGGAAAAAGTACGAAACACATAGGACTGTGACAACCTATTCCGGAAAAGATCGAAAACAGTACGTCGCAGACTTAAGGAATCTGGAAAAGCGTGTTCGCATCAAAGTGTCCTTTCATTAATAAAATAAATAAAAAAAAAGATTTAAATTTGCCAAAACATACATGAATACGCCTTCAGATTTTTGGAAAGAAGTATTATGGTCGGATAAAAGCAAATTTGAATTATTTGTACAAAAACGACAGTCTAAGGTATGGCGAAAAATTGGTGAAGCTCTCAAAGAAGTAAATATTTAAAAGACTATAAAACTATAGACTATAAATGGAGATGGTAATATCATGATATGAGAGTGCTTCGCCTGGTCTGGTGTCGGTTGGCTCAAATTAAAGGAATTATGATGGCAGAAGGATGCATTGATGTACTGTGCGAGAATTTAGAAGAATTTCTTTTGAAATTATATTTAGAAAATAACTTTATCTTCCAACAAGATAATGAACCGAAGCATAAGACAAAAAAACCATTGCCTTTTTCAAATCTAA